AAAAAATAGAGGAGGTACTACTTCCAAATTCATTCTACAAGGCCAGTATTACTCTGATACCAAAACCAGACAAAGACACATCAAAAAAACAAAACAAACAAACAAAAACCCCCAAAAATCTACAGGCCAGCATCTCTGATGAATAATGATGCAAAAATCCTCAACAAAATACTAGCAAACTGAATTCAACAATATATTAGAAAGGCCATTCATCATGATCAAGTGGGATTTATCTCTGGGATGCAAGGATGGTTCAAAACACACAATCAACATGACACAGCATATCAAAAAATAAAGGATAATAACCATATGATCATTTCAATTGATGCTGAAAAAAGTTTAATAAAAAAATTCAACATCCCTTCAGGATAAAAACCCTCAAAAAACTGGATATGGAAGGAACATACTTCAACATAATAAAGCCACATACAACAAGCTAGTATCATACTGAATGGTGAAAAACTGAAAGCCTTTCCCCTAAGACCTGCAACACAACAAGGATGCCCACTGTCATTACTGTTATTCAACATAGCACTGGAAGTCCTAGCTAGAGTAATCAGACAAGAGAAAGGTAGAAAGGGTATCCAAATTGGAAAGGAAGAAGTCAAATTATCCTTGTTTATTGGTGATATAATCTTATTGTTAGAAAAAAACTAAACATTCTGTAAGAAAACTAGAACTGATAAATTCATTAAAGTTGCAGAAATCAAAATCAACACACAAACATCACTAGCACTTCTATACGCCAGCAGTGAACAATGTGAAAAAGAAATTAAAAAGCAATCCCATTTACTACAGCCACACATAAAACTAAATACCCAGAAATTAACCAAAGAACTAAAAGATCTCTATAATGGAAACAATAAAACATCAATGAAGAAAATCGAAGAGGACACCAAAAAAAAGTAGAAAAATATTTCATGTTCATGGATTGGATAAATCAATACTGTTAAAATGTCCACACTACCCAAAGCAACCTAAAAATTCAATGCAACCCCAATCAAAATACCAATGACATTCTTCACAGAAATAAAAAAATACTAAAATTTATATGGAACCACAAAAGACCCAGAATAGCCAAAGCTACCCTAAGCTAAAAGAACAAATATTCTACTGGTAGAATCCCATTATCTGACTTCAAATTATACTACAGAGCTATCATAACCAGAATAGCATGTACTGTCATAAAAACAGACACATATACCCATAGAACAGAATAGAGAACCCCTCCCAAAAAATCCAAACACCTACAGTGAACTCAATTTTGACAAAGGTGCCAAGAACATACACTGGAAAAAGATAGTCTCTTCAATAAGTAGCGCTGGGAAACTGGATATCTACATCCAAAATCATGAAACTAGACCCCTGTCTCTTGCCATACACAAAAAATCAAATCAAAATGCATTAAACACTTCAAACTGAATCCAACACAAGAAGACACTGGGGACAATCTCTAGGACATTAGTTTGGGCAAAGATTTCTTCAGCAGTAGCCCACAGCACAGGCAACCAAAGCAAACATGGACAAATGGGATCACATCAAGTTAAAAAGCTTCTGCAGAGCAAATGAAGTAATCAATAAAGTGAAGAGACAACCCACAGAATCGGAGAAAACATTTGAAAACTACCCCTCTGACAAGGGATTAAGAACTAGAATATAAGGAGTTCAAGCTACTCTATAGGAAAAAACCTAACAATCTGATCAAAAATGGGCAAAAGACCTGAAAAGACATTTTCTCAAAAGACACACAAGTGGCAATACGGCATATGAAAAGGTTCTCAATATCACTGATCATCAGAGAAATGCAAAACTACAATGAGATATCACCTCGTCCCAGTTAAAAGGGCTTTTATCCAAAAGTTAGGCAACAACAAATGCTGGTGAGGATGTGAAGAAAAGGGAACCCTTGTATACCATTGGTGGGGATGTACAACCATTATAGAGAACAATGTGGAGGTCTCCCAAAAAACTAAAAATAGAGCTACCACATGATCCAGCAATCCCACTGCTGGGTATATATCCAAAATAAAAGAAATGAGCGTATCAAAGAGATATCTGTACTCCAAGTTTCCTGCAACACGGTTTACAATAGCTAAGACTCGGCAGCAACCTAAGCATCCATCAACAGTTTAACAGATAATGAAAATGTGGTACATACTCATAATGGAGTACTAGTCTGCCAAAAAAATGAGAGATCCAGTTATTTGCAACAACATGGATGGAAGTGAAGATCACTACGTTAACTGAAGTAACGCAGGCACAGGAAGACAAACATCGTATGTTCTTTCTTACTTGTGGGATCTAAACATCAAATCAACTGAACTCATGGACGTAATAGAAGGATGGTTACCAGAAGCTGGGAAGGGTAGTGGTGGGGGGGGGGGTTGAATGGGAGGTGGGGATGGTTAATGGGTACAAAAAAAAATAGAATGAATAAGACCTACTATTAGATAGCACAATAGGGTGACTATAGTCAATAATATAATTGTACATTTTAAAATAATTTGAATGTAATTGTAATGTCTGTAACTCAGAGTAAATGCCTGAGGGGATGAGTATCTCATTCTACATGTGATTATTTCACATTACATGCCTGTACCAAAACATCCCATGTACCCCCTAAATATAGACACCGACTATGTACCCACATTTTATTTTTAAAACTTACTAAAATAAAAAGAAAAATCTATTCGGTGTGTTACTAAGAAAGGTGCTATTTAGTGGTCTACAAAATTCAAAACTTTAGGGTATGACTAAAGAAACCAATCTGATTATATAATGACTATGTAGTGGTATAGAAACAAATTTGAACTTATATCCATTCTAAAAATGTATAACAACAACCTCAAAAACCTTAAGAGAAAACTGAATTTCAAAAAGTCCAATGTCATTCTCCAAATACTTATTTAAATAAATTTATTTTGGAAAAACACCACTGTCACACAGACAAAAAGCTTTAAAATATTTTATTAACTATTAAAAGTCAGTGAATTTAACATCCATTGCTTTTTAAAACCCCCTATGATTCCTTATCAAACAGAATCAGAAGATATTTACCATCTTAAATTCAAAGAATGACCAAAAAGTTAACAAATCTTGACATTAAGACAATGCTCTCAACTACTCAGAAAGGGTTACAAGAGAAAAGGCCTAAAAGCAACCATAAAAGTTGCTGTTAAAACCTTTGTATCACTGAAGACAACTATCAAAGAGCCACTCTCAAGAAAGACCTACTGATGAATGAACTGATGCTCTCAATGACTCTGAATATTTTTATTTAAATTTAGGATAAACTGATTATATATAACATAAAAGTAATGTTAGCTATAATAATCTTATAATGATGGGGAAATTAGCACTGGTAAATGGAATTATAGTCAAAACTTGCTCACCGAGGTAGTATTTGTTAGTACTATTAAAATAAAAGCAAAATAACAATAAAATCTTAAGAGTTAAACAAAACAGAAAACATGTTTTCCACCTTTTCACGCATCTATACCCCTTTAGCTATTTTCTAAGAAATGCATACTCTTCAGTATACCCCGGGTAAAGCGACCAGACAGTCCATTTAAAATAAATTCTGGCTGGGCATGGTGGCTCATGCCTGCAATCTCAGCACTTTGGGAGGCCAAGGTGGGCGGATCACCTGAGGTCAGGAGTTTGAGGCCAGCCTGACCAACATGGTGAAATCCTGTCTCTAATACAAACACAGGAATTAGCCAGGCATCGTGGCGGGTGCCTGTAATCCCAGCTACTTGGGAGGCTGGGGCAGGAGAACCACTTAAACCCACAAGGCGGAGGTTGCAGCGAGGCAAGACCGTGCCACTGCACTCCAGGTTGGGCAACACTGCCAGACTCTGTCTCTAAATACATCAATCAATCAATCATTCCATCCATCCATCCTGAATTAGGTGCATGTTTCCAACTATATATAAACTTGAAGGCAATTCACTTAGAAAAAGCTTCAGAAAAAAATATAATGATAGCATTCTAGTCATTACCTGATGTTAGAATTAACAGTTTTAGCCAACGATTCAACTCTACTCAGATAATCCATATTTTTAAAATAAGGTAAAACCTTTTGGTATCTACCTAAGTTGTCATAGCAGTATTGTATTAAAAAAAGGAGGAAAGATGAGAGTTAAAAATGAGCTTGCAACAGATGCTTTCTTAGAACCACAATCATTTCTAGGTCATCTGTTTGGTGCTGCCACTGTGACTTTATGAATCATATGACTCTTCACTCCCTCCATATCTCAGGGGTACATTTGTTTCTGGTAAAAATATATACCTTAGTGGATGTAATTGTGATAGATTACATAATGTACTTTTAGCTACCATTTAGTAAACTAAATACTGGCCACTGAAAAAACATACAGAGAAAGAAAATTATCCATATATCCACTCTTTCTAAAACTGTCCAACATGTCAGCACTGAATATACTACTATAAGTCTGAAAACTTTTCAATGACTTTACTGAAAGACTAATTTGACAGAAATTAATCAACAGTCACTGTAAAATTCTCACCATCATTATTTACAGAAAGCAAATGTGATCTTAGATAAAATAATAGTCATCTGAAATGTACAGTTAAGCATGTAACAGTGAAGTATCATGGTTTCTGCAACTTAATACATATATACGTAAAAGTTGTATATTAATAAATAGAGAAAGCAAATGTGGCAAAATGTTATCAATGCCAAACACAAGTGAAAAGTACATGGGTAGTCAGAGTGTTTTTTTAAACTTTCCTGTGTTTGGAAAACTTCAAAGTAAAAGCTGGGAGAACAAAAGACCCCTACTGGCTTCTAGTACTCTTGCACTTTTAGTTACTGTCCTCAGTATATGCCCAATGTTTTCCCTTTTGCCTCAATATCTTTCTGCCCTCAATTAAAACAACTGTTACAGAATAATGTCTTATAAATAAAAATCACAGTTCTAGGAAAGAATTTTAAAAAGTAGTTTCAAAGGCTGGTGTCAGTGAATTAACTGTTTTACCTGAAAGTTAACATCTTCTTTCTTAAATATTAGTGCTCGAACTTCGTCGGGATCTCCGTTAAATATAGCTTGTACCAGTGATGGCTAAAATATAAGAGAGTAATAAAAACATTAGAATCATCCATGTGGGGTGACTAAGGTTATGTATACATAGCTTCTCAATCTACAAGTTTTCTTCCCTGTAGCAATAATCACTTTTTCACATTAGCCAGAAGTTTCATAAAACCAAATCATGCCAAAGTACAGGATTCCTCCTTGGGAAAAAAAAAAAAAAAAAAAAAAAAAAAAAAAAAAAAAAAAAAAAAAAAAAAAAAAAAAAAGACCCAAATAAAAAAAAAAAAAAAAAAAATCAATTCAGTTTGACCCAATTTAGGTAGAATAAACATAACCAGATTTTATTTCTTATAAGTAGAAGCCTTTTGTTTGTATACATCACAAAAAGACTCTTCCCAAATACAAATGTGACATCTTAACATCTACCTGTGGGACAGAACTTGTTAAGCAATTTCCAGCCCACGAAGGAAGCCTCTTTTGAAAAGGTCCGTTTGGGGCATCAAATTATCTTACATAGATTAGCATTACAAGTATAAAGACACAAATCCCAAGAAAGCAAACCTGGCAGTTGATGAAAATAGCCACTAATCAAAGTCAAAAAAATACTAGATACTTAAATAACTTGAAAAGACAAACACATGCATATATAAATAAAATAATTTCTTAATCAACGATACAGTCTCTTGATAAGGTATACTATACTAGTCAAATAAGGAGCCAGTTGACAGTAGCACTAAAACCAAGGTAAAAGATAGTGAATTTCATAAAAACCTTTCTAGGATTCTTTTTCATATAAAATTCATTACAGAAAAGGCCATGTCTTGGTGTTGATGGGAGTAGTCAACCTTTCCTAAAATATGCAGAGTTCCTGATTCTTGTTACATCAGTTTCTGAAACCACAAAATGAAAACAGAAACGTGGTTGCCATAACTACTAATTCTCAAATTATTTTTAAAGTCTTTTTAAGAGCTTAATAAATTAATAAAGACTGAAATGTTATTTCAGCATATGAAAAAGTAAAATGAAAAGTGTGCATTTTATACAAAAATATTATTGCATCATATTTACACACACATTGCTTTAATTTGGGTTTGTAAAGAAACTAGTGGAAACTTACATCTATTCTTAAAAAACAAGATTTACACTACTAGTTCAGTAGAATATAGTAAACATATAAACTTACATATCTTACCAATACATTTCCAGAAGGTGGAGAATGTAGGGATTTACTTTCCTGTGGCAATTTAGAAATGAATGCAGGAGATTCATCTTCTACCTCCTCCAAAACAACAATACACACTCGACTCATTCGATCTTTTAAAACGCTAAATTCCAAGCTATGTGATAAAAGTCACAGTTGGAAGAGCACAAGTAGTTTTTCCTCCTCTTCTGTACAACACTTACAAACATTCTCTGAACAGCACAGCTCGGTTTTTTTCTTTCTAAGTTAATAAGTACTATTGGAAAAACAAGTTTAAAATTATGACTACATAATTTGTAACTTCCTAAAAATAACTAAATTCTATTATTTCTGTTGGGTTACTGCAATACTTAAGAAGAAATTTCACACCAACATATCAATAACTAAAACTGAGTCCAAGATCATTTAAAAATATTTTTCCCCTACCAAAATAGTCTTACTGCTCTACCTCGGAAATTTACTTGCACAAAACAATCATTGTTTTTGGTGACACAACACCACACAATATAGAATGAAATGAGAAACAACTGCTGTGACAGAGATAATCACAGCGATACCCACTCTTGCCTGCAAGGTCATATAGTTAACCAGTAGCTGTTTTGCTTATAATTGAAAATAAAAAATAAAATCTCACTATTCTGTTTCCACTTCTAATTTGTCTTCATTTCTTCAGCATCACTGGTTTAATGCAGATACTATTCACAGAAAAAAAGATCTAGAGCTCAGCACAAATCCTGAAAATGAAGCTCAGAGGTTTACAATTCTTTCAGTGTTTGGGAAAGGGGCAAAAACAAAACAAAAACAAAAACAAAAAACCACTCTGCATTAATAGCAAAGCTGCAGTACATTTACATGTGATGAGTCAGACCACAAGAGACAATAGGACTCTTGGTACTAGAATACAGCTTGATTAATCCAGATTTCCCATATAATAGAAGAAACACAGTTAGCTTTATTTCCATCGATAGCATAAGCAAGGCAGAGCGTTCATTCTTTCTCCATCAGGCAGTTGTCTGTGGCTGCTCCAGCAAAAGGGCATAGGCACCAGGCAGAAATGGTGTTAGTGGAGAATCCTAATAGAACAAGCAGGCTGTGAAGGAATTAGAAGGCATTTGAGCTCAAATTACTGCTTCAGGCTTTTTGTTTTCTTCAAAAAAAAAGAGGAAGAAAAAAAAAAAAAAGACCTAGTAGTTTATCATTCCAGTGTTTCCTTTGATCTCCACATGAATACAGCTTCCATTAAACAGTCTTCATTCAGAGGAAAAAACAGCAGACTGTGCATCTTCTTTGAGCCAACTACTTTATTCAATCATCTGCCTCTTTGCCAATATAGTTTCCTTCCACTGTGAAAACCGCTACAGTTATCCTTTTCAGTAGATTTCAGATGCTTTCGTGTTCCTCAGATGATCTTGCAAAACACTTCTGACATCCCCAAATGAGTAGGTTCTTAAAAAATACCTACAGAACCTCAGTATCGGTCCCACAGAAGCATTCCAACCGAGCAACAGTCTGAAGAGCAAAGACTGCAGACCCGCAGGATGAAATGCCTAGTAATGCTCACATGTTACACTTACCAGAGATCTGAGCTACTGTTCGGGATGTAACTTCCTCTAGCAGGAGAAAAAAATAGTGCATTTGGACAGCCTTCACAATTAGAAGGTTCATGCCAGTTCTGTGACTAATCCAGATCAAACTAAAAAATTCTATAACTGAAAAATGAGTGTGCTTTTAACATTTTCCACTAAAAGCCACAAGGAAATCTGGTGTACTGCCTCTGCTGACTAACAGCGGTTTTAGCAAGTAAACAATTCCAAACGGCTTAAGTGCTTGGCTTAACTGCTTTCGTGTGTTACAATATAGCAAATGTTTAACCCTATAATCACAGTTGCAATAAGAATATGCCTACAGTGAACTCATAAAAGAGGTTTAAAGATGGAGAAATATTTTATGAGATTATAAAATCCATGAAATTGTTTTATTTGTATTTTTGCCAAGATCAGTTTTAATCTGCCAGATATATTTTATTTTTTGGAATGCAAAAAGTTTAAATAAATGAAATTTAAGATTGTCTAACAATTTCTAAATTGGTGAATTTAATCAATCATTGATTCATATGTCAAAGGGAAAAGTAAAAATTTCAGAATGTAGAAATCCTAACTCTAAAATTATATAAATCATTTGATTTTTCACTAAAGAAATAAAATAATCCACCTTCCCATTTGGATAGAGAATAAAGCCTTAAAAATCTGCTAAAAGCTACATGAAAAAAAAGTGTCCTTTGTCCTGAATTACCTATGTCAAAAGGGCACAGGGTAATGCAGAGTCTCCCTCCCTATAAATTTCCCAAAGCCACAAATAAATGTCAAAACCAGTCAATTCAGAGTTTTTTTTTTTTTTCTCCTTCCTCTGTTTACCCAACATGGGGGATATTTTTCAAGAGAAAACTTACAAAGAAAATACCATGGTCCCCCTTCATTCTGTGTTCTTCATATTAACTAGTCTTTTTATTAATAAACATAATAGTTATTTTTGAACATCTGTGATATGCTAGGTGCTGCACATTCTCATTTAACGCAATAACCTTGCTTACAGTGGGAATAAGCAGACTCAGAAATGATGTATTTTACCCAAAGTTGTGCAAATTAATAAAGTTGTATCTAATTTTAAACACATACTCTTTCTAATCTATTCTGCTATCACTGAGTACACACACATACAGACACACCCTCTCTCCCTGCTCATCTCCAGATCTTTGCAACCTATAATACAAGCTTATAAAAGTAATCTTAACAAACAGGTAACCTATAAAGGTTGTGTAAAAGTTTAGGTAACAAAGGAACATACTATTTATTACAATAAAGAGCAAGTCTTAAAGC